CAGTTTCTTTAAAAAGGGCACAAAAGGAAGCAGTACGCCTCTGTGATAATAACCTAATTCGTGAATTTGTAATATTTTTCTAAATGTCTTAATTTTTACGTAAAAAATATCTTTTTATGATCACATTTCAAACTACAAAATGAATTAATTTTATTTTATCGCTGTAAGGGGTATCACTGTAAATTCGTTAAAAACATAAAAAAAAAATTAGTAGTGACTCTTATCATTTAGAGGTCTGCAAAATAGTTTTTCACCGTTTTAGAAATCTAAAATAAGAATATAAAATTTTCAATTCCGCCCTATAAATAATTGAGATTAAGAGAAAATTGGTCCAAAAACTCAAAAAAAAGTCCAGGTTGGACGACCCTTGATAAAAATGAATAGTTTTTTTTTTTTGAATAAACTGAAGAAAATCTGTTCAATAAATGTTTATCCGTAAATGTTCAATAAAAAAACATTTACGGATTTAAAATGACCTGCGAAATAATTCGTAAATTTAAGCTTTAAATTTTATTACGTAAGGCTTAAAGGGAGGAGGTTTAACAAAAAACGTAAAAATATTTCGTAGGGAGGGAGAGGTCTAGTGAGATATAACAACTATTTTTTTTATCTAGATTTAAAAGAAAAATCAAAAATTCTCGTAGAGTAGGGAGGTTAGTTTTTGAAAAAAATGGCAAAAAATCTATAAAAATCGATCAGGTGATCAATGAACGACGCTCTTAACTGATATTAATGTTTTTTTTTTCTTTATTGCAGATTATAATAATGATCGGTGCTTCTGGACATGCCTTAGCTCGTTTAGTTTTTGGTCTAACAGATATCGCAAACTTATTCTATCTAGGTAAATTAAAAAAAAATTCAATTCATTTATTTATTTGAATACATTATACATATATAACTTTGAACACATTTTTATAATTTCGTATTTTTTTATTTATAACAATTTTGTTAAAAAACACTAAATTTATTATCTACGGAAACAAATTGAAATTATTCACTTTTGGGATTTTGATTATGAATTTTATAAATTATTATGTTTATTATTTATTTATTATGATTCATTAGAAAAATTATTTATTATAACATCTACTATTGATAATACATAATTCTATATAAAATAATTATATTCTGCTTTGTACTAAGTTATGAAGTTTTATCATTATTGATAAAACTTCATAAACACTTACGTGTTTTAATAAAATATTCTAGGTAAACTAATACAAATAAATTTGAATTTTAATTGACATCACTAACATGTATTATTATCAACATTTTTTTTATTTGTTTTTTAGGTGCTGTAATTGCAGCAATCGGTCCAGTAGTCGCACCAGTACTAAGATCGATGACATCAAAAGTTGTACCAATTTCAGAAAGGGGTAAAATACTTTTTACTAATCAATTTTGGACGTACTCATATAAATCGTATTCTTTTAGGAAAAGTCTTTTCCTGGTTATCTGTATTCGACAATGCAGTACCATTATTTTCCGGAGTACTTTACACCCAAGTGTACAATGCTTCGATAAACACTCATCCTGCTGGAATATTTTGGTTAACTATGAGCACACAGATTGTGGTATTTATCCTAATACTGTAAGTAATAAACAAAAAATATTTTAAATATATACCTACCAAAATTAATATAGTGAGAAAAATATCACAACATCATGAACAAATATATAACTTGTACGATCGTACTCGGTCACATATTAATTGAGACTTTCAGAACTTTCTTGAATAATTATAATATTGATATTATTATTATTATTATGTGTCTTTTTTTTCAGGTGCGTCCATCTAATATTAGGAGACAAACCTCTTCTAGTTGAAGAAGAAAAAAGCGAAGAAGCCATTATTCAGAGGGCCGATGAGACCTCAAACGAAAAGACTGATTCAATAAGTTAGTTCGATTGTTATTATGTTTTGGGTTAACTATCTTCTTTCTGAATAGTATTAAGAATTTCCATTGATGTATGTGATTCTTCTAATTTTATTTTATTAAGCCTAATTTGATCTAGTTTTAATAATAAATTTTTATATATTTATTTTATTTTTTGGTTTTAGCTGTGAATGTTTATTTTATTTTTATTTATTATTTTTATTGTTTTCTAGGTTGCTTCTTTGATGTTGTGTACTATAATATATTTTTTTAATATAGGTTTTTCGCGAAAAATCCTCAAATACAAAATTAGAGAACATTTCAGGGAGGAAAAATATTTTCTCAATGCAATTATTCACGCAATATTTTTTTTGTTATAAGTACAGTTGATTCTAATATATCAATATTTACATCATAAAAATTATAAGCGCTAGGTGCAATATTTTTTCAAGTAAATCAAATGGATTGATATTCATTATAAGTGCCATTTTCACCAAAATTAAAAATAAGTTGCATGGCATCGTGCCTCAAGGCAAATTGCTGGAACTTCCCGTACCGTAATTTAAAATTTTTATAAGCTCAGAAAAGAGCATTTGAATTTTTTTGAACATATTTGAAATGTTTGAAAAAATTAAATTATGAAAAAATTTGAGAAAGCCGATTTTGAAAACGTTGATAAATTTTACATCCGAATAATTTTTGAAAACTGATATTTTTTACTTGTAATTTGAAAACTTTTAAATTTACGTTTTGATACCACTCATGTCGGTTGATCCATGCTGTCGAAAGTATCTGATTTCTTAAAACTTTTTTTTGAATCCCCAAAACCTATAGACCTGTCTTTGCAAAAATTTAATGAATTCTTCATGTTTGTATTGAACAAATAAAATGTTTTTTGAATCATTCAAATCGGTTAAGCGGTGTTTCCGAAATCGTCGATGAAAAATTTTATCCACAAACATCAATTTTTTCTAAGGTGTACCAAAATGTTCAGAAACCTCTGAAACGTATAGATATGCAAAAAAAATCATATTCAATTTTTGGACGATTACATTAATGTAATCGAATATGAAACTTACCTATGGAAAGTTAATAATTGTATTCCTATAGAATTACTCTTAATATATAGAGTTGGATGGATTCTAGCAAAAAAATACCATTTTAAGAAATAAAATATTGTCGAATTTTTGTAAATCTACCTGTTCTCATAATATATTCAAAATTCGTTTTATTAGCAAACTTCAAACAATATTTTTATCAATGGATTAATTGTATGTATATTCAAATACGTATATCAAAAAAATCATCTTTATCAGTGACGTAAAAATTGGGCACGCACATTTTGGCACGTACGCATTATTATCATGATTATTCAATGTAATAAATCATTATTTAAATCTTCATAAACAGAGTCGTTTTTCAAAAGCTTTTGTTTATTAAGAAAAAGTTTTCTATAATTCATTACAAACTTTAAAAATAAAATTTTAATTTTATATCAAATCAGGTGGCCTGATATCAAAACTTTTGAGGCATTAAAAATAAATATATTGCAATTAGAAAGAGAAAATTAGGTTTTTTTAATGACGTTTGTCTAATATAAATTTTCATAAAAATAGCTTAGAGCACTTCTAGTAAATCCCGAACACTTAAAAAATTTGAATATAAATATAATTCGATATTTAAAATGCATTCGTTATACGATTGTATGTACGTTTTGTGAATTTACGAAAAAGACATTTGTAATTAATTACAATTATAATCTTAAAGCTTATATGTAATAAAATACAAAATGCTTATTTCACATTTTACTTTAACAATATTTAATAGAATTTTCAAACTATTTAATTTTCCTATTTTTCAATTTCACTATTACAATTTTTTATTTATTATTTACCATCACAATGGTTGTGTGAAATTCCAATTCAAAGTAGATATTAGCATATTATTGAAATGTTAATTTTTATAATCAATTTACTGCTCGAAATTTTTTAACAATCTGTCTATTTCTCAATTTTCGTTATCAGAGATGTATCTTTGAATTCAGGGATTAAAATGATAAAAAGATTTTCGGGCATTGATTCCTACGATTACGTATTTTTTTAAACTCTTTCTTAGCAACGCGTTCGAACGTGGTGCACGTGTTAATTTTATAATAAAAATGTGAATTTTTATTACTATTTGTTTTAAAATAAAATAATATTAATTGTTATGTGATGTTTGAGTGATAAAATTAATTAGCAAAATGGCGAAAGACGAAAATCAGAAAGAGGTTGTTGTGATATTTACATGTAACTTAATTGTTCGAAAAACTTAAAAATAAAATTGTTTTTTTTTAATTGGTGAAGTAAACATTTTTCTAAAATGTTTTTTTGTGATTTTTGTTAAGATTATATTTGCTTGGCAATTTATGCAGATTGTCGATTGGATATTTTCTGTAATTTCAATGCCTTAATTGCCTTGTCAATCATATGTGTCTGACGCTAAAATGTTCTACATTAACTATGTTATATATATATATATATATATATATATATATTATATATATATATATATATATGTATAACTTTATATATGACGTATGCAATTTGATTGAATGAGAAATAAGTTCGTAATATTTGGCCATGTCAGTCAGACTTAAAAAATAGAGTTTTCCAAGAACATTATGAATTTTCGTGCTAGAGAAGGAATTGAAGAAACTATTTCAAGTTTTCAAAAAAAAAATCAAAAAGTGTCGATGAAAGTTTAAATTTTAGTTTAAATATACACCTGTATCATTTTAAAATTTTCTATGTCAAACTCTTTAGAATATCTTGAAATGCCAAGAAAATTTAAACCTAGTCAATTAGATTTTCTGGTGAAAACAAATTTTGCTCTACAAAATCTTTTGTATATTAAAATCCATAGAAATTTTTTTCAAATAACAAACAAGAAACATCTTTTTTATATATTAAAATGCCTACAAAAATTTTCTATACTTCAAACAACAAATTTTGTTTGAATTTTCAATAATATTTACACATTTTCAATATGAACCGAAACTTCAGTGAAAAATTCAGAAAATTTACAACTTTTTCAGACAATCTACAATAGTTTCAAACAATTTTCTTTTGCAAAAATGAAAATTTCAGACAATTAAAAAAAAAATTAAGGAAATTTACAACATTTTTAGACATTCTGCAATATTTTCAGGAAATGTACATTTTTAAGAATTGAATATTTTTATCTAATTTAAAATATTTTCAGACAACATGCAAAACTTTCAGACGATTTAAATTATTTTTAGTCAATTTAAAATTTTCACAGATAAACTAAAATATTTTTAGATTAAAACTCTATTTACTTATTTCGTGTTTTGAGTACAAGTTTTAAAAAATCATTCAATATTATTATACTTTGTTAAATAAATGTATATTTATAATGAATACTAAAATGTCTAAAATTTTAAAAATTGGTTCTTTAACAAAAATTTTCTTTGCAAAGCAAGAAGTAGATTTGCACTCCATTATGTATATAAGTACACGTCGACTACTTCATTTATTTTATTTCTTAAAATAATTTCTTAATTCTTAAATTATAAATCAAAACATTATCTTATCTTACTGGTAAGCAAATAGAAAGATGAGAGAAAAATCTTTTTAAAAATGCTTAAAATTAATACCAATTGGTCAACATTGATCTTACCAGATTTCTTAGAAATTTAAAAATAAAAAAAAAAAATTAACATTGTTTATTTTAAGTTTTTAATCAAATACAAGCAAAACAAGTTATAAGTTAAGGACTTAAGATTCATTTAAGATTTACTAATATATATTTTTTTTTCTATTTTTTCCAGGATACTGAAAGTGTAGACGCTTCAACACCTCGATTAATTCGATGGTGGTCAAAAGTCACAGTCGAACCAACATTGTTCCTGTACAATTTGGCCTGTATGACCACATCTGTGGTCGAACAGGCATTTTTCGTCCACAAATCCTGCACAGTAAATCACAATTATAACGAAACAATTTGCAGTCATTTGCCAGAGTACAAGAAAATCAACACCGAAGTCCAGGTGATGAAAGATAATTAATAAATTTAATTTAAGGTGCACAACTAGTGTAACCGCCTAAAAAAGGTGATTTTTGGGAATTTATATTAAAAACCACTTTATCAATCATTTCAAAATTTTAGAAATATATTTATACATGTTTCAAGAATACATAGTAAATTTTTGAAGGAAAAAATTAAATATTTTTTAAGTTATCGTCGATCTCCAACGGTGCGACAAAAAAAGGCACTTCACTGCTGCAGTGATTCCGGCCTTCTACGTGGATGAAATTTAAAAAAAAAATTATTGTTAAACTAGATAATATTGTCTGTAAAATGAACTACGATAAGGAAAAAAATCTAAAATTGACAAAATGACGACGTTTTTTTTTAAAAAAAGTCGAATTCTACCCAAAATTTTGGTCGTTTTTGGACTGCCAAAATTCGATTTTTGATCCGATCAAAAAATCGATAGTTCATTTTACGGAGAACTATATATAGACATGTAAACAAAATTTGATAATGATCGAATAATTTGTTTTTGAGTAATCGCTGCAGCAAATTCGGAAAATGCTGTTTCGAGAAAAACGCGTTTAAAGATTAAATGATCGTTGATGTGCCCATAATTATGAAAGTGGTCATAATTATGAAAGTGAAAATGAATTGCATTTGAATAAATTAAAAAATATTTTTACATTATGCGACATTTTAATTTTTAATTTTATTAGTCTTAATTAATAGAAACTGATTATGAACATGAAATTTTGTGTGAATTTCATACGATATTGTTTTTAAAGTTTGAATTGACTTAGACCATTTTCACAATTAACTGAATGTCCTATAAATGACTTAAAGCAATAAAGAACTTTGAGTTTTATTTGGAACAATAATTTTATTGAAATAATTCGTGAGTATTTATTAATTATTTTTTAAACGGTAATCCATCTTTATCATTATTTCGAGTATTTAAGATTCTTAAAATGTTTCTGAAAAACTGGAGGGATGTACGGTAGTAAACTCACAATATCTTTATGTTTTTCTTCCGATACTGGTCTAATGCTGGTGTATAATGGAAGTAATTTAATATAAGGTTGTCAAATATCTCCCTTCCGCTTTTTTGCTCTTGGTTTATAATACAAAAAGGCGGAAGGGAGATATTTGACAACCTAATATTTCCGTATATTTTTGGTCTTCCTCTTTTATATGAAAGATCCAAAACGTGAAATGTAGAATCATCTAAAGAAGTTTTATAAAACATTTTATAAGGTTCATTTTTCAAGAATCTCATCCTTGAAAGAATTGAATTTGTAGCCAAGAGACAGATTCGCCCGAGGTATTTTTTACTATTCTTGTTATTGTATCTTCTAATGATTTCGTTGAAATAAAATCCGGCTGCGACATTCGCTTTATCGAAAATGTATTGCTTCTTCTGCACTTTTCTATTAATTCATAATAATGCTCAGGATTGTACTTTTTTTTATTTTCACTTTTATCAACCCAAAATCATGATCAAAATGACCTGATACCAAAAATTTCTTTAAATTTTTGACTTAGACCACTTTCATAATTAACACTAAATGAATTTCATAAAATGTTGAAATTACAACCACTATCTAATGGTGACAATTTCGTAAAAATTACATTGAATACATTTAGTTTAAACTAATGTGGTATGAAATAACTGATGAACTCATTTTTTTTTAATTTTGACTTAGACCACTTTTATAATTATGGGCACATATAAGGTTGTCAAATATCTCCCTTCCGCCTTTTTGTATTATAAACCAAGAGCAAAAAAGCGGAAGGGAGATATTTGACAACCTAATATATACTCTTTAAATGGCTGTGACTCAGAAACTATTTAAGATATCGATTTAAAATTTTGGTATGTTATATTTAAAGGTATAAGCTATTGAAACATGGGAAAATTTAAAATTCGATTTTTTGAAAATTTCACACTAGTGTGCCCCTTAAGAAGTAAATGTTATTTATATCGAGTTTTTTTATTTGTAGTTGACTGTATCAGATTTTCACCAATGGAACAACATAGCTGGTCATGTTGCTCCTATAATCCTGTCATTATTTTTGGGTGCCTGGAGCGATAAAAGAGGCAGAAAAATACCTTTGATTCTGGGACTACTTGGAAAGTTATACTACTCTATTATGATTATTATTAATGCCACTCAAGGTAACTAGTAAATTCAAAAAAAGCTCACTTTACCATTTCCAGAAGAGATTCATATATCTATTTTTATTAGATTCTTGGCCCCTGGAGTACGTGATTTACACAGCAACTTTGCCTTCAGCTCTAACAGGAGGTGATGTGGCGATTTTTGGAGCAGCCTTCAGTTACATGTCTGACGTCACGACGTCCAGAGATCGAACTTTGAGGATTTCGATATTGGATGTTTGCTTTCTCAGCACTATGCCGACTGGTGTGGCTTTAGGTAATAAATTAGATAATAGATCTCGATCAATTATATCGACTTATTTCGAATGGCCATTGACGTATCAGTATTCGTGGCGTAACGCATTTCCGTCAAAAAATGAAATTTTAATCATTCTTGATTAAAGGAGCGATTTTGCCTCATAAAAGAGCGTTGTCATGGCAACGCTATCTTATGCTTGTTTCTGAATAGAGAACTGTGAATTTGTCTAACTATTTGCTGTACGTATTTTACACATAAACAAGCAAATAAAAATATTATGATAACAGGATCTTCGAATTTATATATATATATATACTAGCTGATCCGGCAAACGTAGTTTTGCTAAGTAAGGTATATTCTAAACAATTTCTAGAGAATCAAAAATATTAATACTTTTAGTGTATAAGGATGAGTTGTTTGAATGCTATATAAAATGAGGCATTATAAAAACAATAAACCCCACTAGTTTGTCTATATTTTGTCTGGAAGTTTTATACTCTTTCTATAGAAAACATGGTATAATCCAATCCAAGTCTTTTTTGGTCTTTCGACTTATTCATTACGTTTCAAGTTTTTCAAATTCTTTTTGGATTCTGAATTTTGTGTATACTACTAAATAATACTACTGAGCTTATAAAAAATTTTCAAATTTCTGCGAGGATGGATAGAAAATAAATTAAGTATTTCTTTTTTGACCTGCTTTTTGAAAAGTTTCAAGTAATATTCCACGAATTAAAGGAATTTTAATAAAAAGTATATATGTAGAGCAGGGCGAGTCACAAAGGTCCAATATGACTTTGAGCAAATATTAATTATATTTTCAAAATCAAACCAATTATATCACAACAAATAACATATTTCAAACGAACAATTATCTGACTACGTTTAGTAAAACTGTCAGCTACTTCATCATTGTAGAAATGTGCTTTTTTGATGTCTTTCAAAAGTTTGTTATCTAGACTTTTTTACCCTAAAGGCGGGATAACTTGGAGCGGCCAGGTGGAAAACAGGTTTAATGTCTTATTTTAATTTTAAAGGTATTTTACAAAGTAATTACATTTTTAACTAATGCCAAAAAACTACCAACGGAAGAAAATACTTTTATTATGAATTTTCAAAGATTACCGTTTATCTCACGATAGCAAAGTCATGAGAATCAAGGTTATAGCTGGTTATACATCTTTTTCCCTCTACTAGCAAATATCTTTGTTAAACAATGCAACAATGTTAACATTACTGGTTTTTGACATATATGTGGTAGACCTTTTCAACGCCGGACCTTCATGTATCACTATCTATTTTTCGATAATTTCTGGGATATTATAACTGGAAAAATGTTATTCGACAAAATGTCCCTTTTACCCATACCAAATTCAGGTTCTGAATTGAAATAACTTAAATAAAAAATAATATAACCTAGAAAATGTTTTATAAATACCAATAAGTATATAATTATACAAATGAGATCTTTCACAGCACCGTGTTTAAGAAAAATATGCCGAAAAGTGCATTTTCATATTAACATTTCAAAAAAGTTAACATTTATTAACACTTGCGGCCCGTTTACTAACGTTTTTGTGTATAAATAAAACTACAAACAAAACTACTTACTACAATTTAATCACAATTAAATAATATTCACGTAAAACATCCTATTAAACCTAATTGAACATCATCTGTCAAAAACGTTTGACATTTGACGTATTAGCCACCGTCCATTGTTTTATTCAAATTACGCTTGTACAAAAATTTTCAAATTAAAAATATAAAGCTTGTACTCGATTTTGAAATAATATCTCACCTTTCCGACAACCTACTGATCAGCACAAATTTTTCAAGACTAAGACTGGCCAAATCGGTTTAGCCGTTTTCGAGTTTTACCGAATCATTTGATCGAGAGCTCCATTTTTATATATAACATTATTTTTCAGGTTCCTATCTATTCAATGATGTAACCAACAGATCATACTCGATAATGTTTGCAATAAATGCATCGATGTTAATGTTGACTTTGGTGTATTCTTTTTTGAAATTAAATTGGCGAACCACTTCATCACAAAGGCCACTTAGGGAAGCCAAAAATATTATCACTGACTTCTTTAACAAGTTAGTAAAAAAATATTTGAAATAAAAATAATTCATTGCCATTATGATAATTTTTTTAATATTTTTAGGGAGCATGTAAAAGCTTCTGTAAGTACTTTGACCAAAAAACGTCCTCAACATAGAAGGCTCTATTTATGGTTATTTATGGTCATAATGGCCTTATATACATCACAAAGAGGTATATAATGTTTTATATTACTTATGTAACTTATTATCATTAACCCCTGATAATAATAAGATTATTATTTATTTATTTACTGGCATTGATTTAAAAACAATCTACTAGCAACTCGGTGCCTCATTCTAGCGAAAACGTATCTGCTGTAAACTTAGTGTTATTGTATATGCTATGCAATTTGTTTTATATAAATTTAAATGCTTATTTTATA